TCCCTGCAGCCTGGGATGCTGGCAGCTGAAAACATTTAAAGAGCCAGGACAGCAGATGGGATCGGAACGTTACTGGGGTGAGTTTTTCTGCATGCCAGCTTTTAGAACTTGGTTGGATGCAAGCGACAAGAGAAAGGGGCTGACGGACAGAGGAATTAATCTACTTTCAGAACATTGTAGGGGTTTCTTTGGGCAGGGGGCAGTCAGGAGAAGATGTTGGAAGTGAATGCCTAGGACCCTCGTACCTACGGGACCGCCTCTCCTGGTATGTCCCACAGAGGAACTTACGGTCTTCAAATAAAAACATCTTGAAGGTCCCAGGCCACAGAGAGGTTAGGCTGGCCTCAACCAGAGCCAGGGCTTTTTCGGCTGTGGCTCCAATCTGGTGGAACGCTCTGTCACAAGAGACCAGGGCCCTGCGGGACCTGACATCTTTCCGCAGGGCCTGCAAGACAGAGCTGTTCCACCAGGCCTTTGGTCAGGGCACAGCCTGACTCCCTCCTTTGGCAATCTTCACAGAATTTTAGCCTAATGGTTGCCATCAATTTGATTTGAATTAATTTTATAATGAAATGATTTTAGAATGTTGTACTATTTTATTGTTGTTAACCGCCCTGAGCCCGGCTTCGGCTGGGGAGGGCGGGATATAAATAAAATTTATTATTATTATTATTATTATTATTATTATTATTATTATTATTCAGGACAGCAATATAAAGCACAGCACATGGTTAAACAGTGGAACTCCCTCAACCTGCGGGTCCCCAGATGTTGTTGGACTACAACTCCCATCATCCCTAGCCTTGCTAGCTAGGGGTGATGGGAGTTGTAGTTCAACAACATCTGGGGACCCACAGGTTGAGAAAGGCTGGATTAGACAAATTCATGGAGGATCAACAGCTACCAATGATGGTGGCTGTGTTCGACCTCGGCTGTGAGAGCCATCATTCCTCTGAATATCAGTTTTTGGACACCACAAGAGGAGAGAGTGCTCTGATGTCTGGCTCCTGCTTACAGCTTTCCATATGCAGCTGTTTGGCCACTGTGAGAACAGGATGCTGGACTAGATGGACCATTGACCTATTCTGGCAGGCTCATTTCACATACCTAGCTCCACATGTATGTTCACGGGGCCTAAGCTGGTTGTGACTACACCCAAAGAAACAGATCTTTGAGTCACGGTGGAGTGTGCACTGAAAAAAGTCATAGAATCATAGACTTGTAGATTGGAAGGGACCCTCAACAGTTACTTAGTCCAACCCCCTGCAATGTAGGAATCTCAGTTAAGGCACTCAGGACCAAGTATGCTGTGGTAGTGGAAAAAATATTGGCTGTCTGTGCGTGAGCCTCTGTGGAATCATGGTTGAAGTATTTTTTTCCGTTTCTCTCCTACAGCAGATAGTCAACCTGTGGAATGTTCCGAGCACATGGAAGCCACCACTGACAAACCCACAAGAAGAAAGATGCTTTAGGCCAAGGATGGTCCATGCGGTGCCTCTAAATGTCATTGGAATCCACTTCCCATCAGCCCCAGTCAGCATGGCCAAAGAAGAGGGATGATGGGAGCTGTAGTCCAATGACACCGGAAGGTCACCACATTGGCTACCCCTTGTTTAGGCAATGAAGAAGAGGACCCGGACAGACTCTGATGAAGAGGGTTGGTGAGATGGATGGGGAAGGTAACTTCAGGCAAGCAAGTCCTAAAGGGGGCGGGGGACACTAATCTAACATAGACTTCTGGAAGCAGGCATTGTTCCTGGAATGGCGTTCAGGTTTGAAATTTCAGGGGGATTTCGATAAAAATGCAGGCTTCTGTGCTTCCGTTCTCAGCGAAGCTGCAGCTGCAGCTACTTCTTACCTGTCACATCCATGGGCTTAAATGCTGGCTGTGGATCAAAGCAATGGGCCCTGTCATCCATTGTCCACGAATCATTGCGGTCCAGAAACTCCTTGTAGGACATCTTTTCATCCATGATCTTTCCTGGAGACACTGGGAAGAGAAAAAGGAAAGCATCGTTGATAACCGGCAAGTCAAATCGAGTCCTTGGTTGTGTTAGAGAAGAACTTCAGTTGGACCTGCAAGCTACAGCCCACTAAACTAAGGACAATTTTCACAATGGAGAGAAGCAAGCAGTGGTCATCCCCCTTCTCTTAAGCAAATCCATGTCTCCCTTCAATCCTCCGCTGTACAACGACCTATGGGCGAACCTTTTCCAAGTCAAGCCAAGTAGTGCCTTAGCATTCTGAAGTTTCTTTTACAAGTTCCCAGAAGTATTACAGTAGTGATTTCCTTCCCCTGCCCACCTGCTCATTCCTCATCGGTATAGAATCACACAATTGTAGACTTGGAAGGGACCACAAAGGTCATCGTAGGAATCACAGCTGAAAAATCTCAGATAGCCATCGAACCTCTGCTTAAAATTTTCCAAGAAAGGAGAGTCCACCACCTTTTGAGGTAGTTCGCTCCCCTTTCAAACAGTGCATAGTATCAGCAACTTCTTCCTAATGTTTAGTTGAAATCTCCTTTCTTGCATTTGAATCCATTGGTTCAGTCCTAGCCTTAGGAGCAGGAGAACAAGCTTGTTCCATCTTCCACGTGACAGCCCTTCAGATATCTGAAAATGGCTCTAATATCTCCTCCCAGTCTCCTCTTTTCCAGGCTAAACATCTCCAACTCCCTCAGCCATTCCCCACAAGACTTGGTTGCCAGCCCTTGATGATCCTGGTCAATCTCCTCTGCATAGGTTCCAGCTTGTCAATTTGCTTTTTAAACTGGGGTGCCCAGAACTGGACTGAGGACTCCAGGTGGGATCTGATCAAGACAGAATCGAGCAGTACCACGACTTCCCTTGATCCTGACGCTATACTTCTGTTGATGCAGCCTAGACTAGCAAGCATGTTAAAACAATCGTTTATATAATCACTGCCATGAACACAGACACGTTCATTGTCATGTGCTTCTGTGTGTACAAATCTCGACACAGATAAACACCTTCCCCCCACCTGCCTACTGACCTGTCCCTGCAGCCCCTCAGTCCTACCTTGGTGAACAATTTGCAATACTAGCTGGTCTTAATATTGTGCTGTCACACAGAACCAGCAGCTTTCTCAGCTGTCCTCCATCGCCCCAAGTCGATGCATCATTTGCAACTTAACCCTCGTTTCCCTTTTTCTCTCCTCCCCGTCACCAGACAAGAGGGTTTCATGCCAAAGGCCATGTCACCGCAAGCACCTCAATGCACGTAGCAGGTAACCTCTGGCCACAGACACTCTCCCTGTGCACTTCAGTGATAGCTACGGCCAATGACAGAATGAGCCACGAGGCTTACTCATGTAAATAAGTCCAAGAGACGCGAACAAAGAGGATTGTGTTTGAGACCTTGCAGTGAAAAGCTGGTATGTAAAATGCTCCGCCATTGGCAACTGTTTGCATTGGGTTTGTTTGTTTCTGGAACTTCTGGGAGGGCTGCAGCTGCTTGTCTTCATGAGAAGCAGGAAGTCAGAGGCCGTCAGCCATCCCTTTATACCAGAATGAGCTGCTTTGTTTCCAATGCATCCCCGTTGGAGCGACACAGGAGGTTGCTACCAGTGCAGCGCTTTGCAGAGAGAGCCAACACCAACACCCTGTGTTTCAGGGTCACATCGCTGGGTGCTAACATGCGCCTAGAAAGCAGCAAAACTTTTTTCAGATAGCTATTCTCAGAAAATAATGCAGACTGCTTATTGAATCTGCATCTCACCCTTCTTTTTTAAAACTGACTTGCAGCTTTGTTAAAGAAGAAAGGAAATTAACAAAATGGGAGAATCAGCTCACATTCTCAAAATGATAAACATCCATCTTAATTTTCCCACAGAAAGAGAGATGCCATTCAAATGCCCGAACAGGTATCCAACCAATGTTGGTGTCCGTGCAAAGTATGTTCAAATATAGCAAGGGAATTGTGGTCTGCAGACCGCTGCACAATAGATATTTATTTATCCTTCCATACTCAAAGTAGAAGTCTCTTAGCGACCGCACACTTCTTCCAAAGGACAAATGTATCTGAACGGAAATATTTGATCAGGAAGGGAAAATAAAGCACATTTAACATGATATAAATTGGGGGATACATTTTCACAGAATAATAAAGCACTTGTGCTTATTCTCTTACAAGATTTCCACCCCTTGTACACCAAACCTTATTATTTTTAGAGAAAGTGGTGCTCTCTCTTCCAGTCTGCACCCCAAGGATCATTTCTGGTTACCATGCTACAGTTAAGAACCACAGGAACTGACGCAGATAAGCATCCTCTTAGATCAAGCACTTAGCATTTTAAACTTTGGATTGTTCACAATACTGGTGGGTCTTACTAATTTATCTCTGCCCCCTTCCCTCAAAATTTTAGCTCCCTCAGTGATGATGCTACATGAAAGCTGTTGTTGCCATCATTTCCTTCTCACGCAGAGTGGTACCGTTTACCGAATTGCAAGTTCTTAACACCAGTGCGTAAGCATTCCTTACCCTCCCAGAAAGGCGCTTTCATTCGGTGTTTTGCAACGTGTCTATTTGTTTAACATATCCATGATTATACAGCTGATTTATTTTTAAAATCCTTTAAGCGCCTCAAAGCCCTTCTTGCATTTGCCATGCGCAGGCCCCAAATTTGGCAAAGGGCAGAGTGGCTTCCTTCCAAGGCCTCCTGCCCATTGCACAGCTAGGGAGGAGAGTGACGCGGTTGACTATGGCAAGGAGGGCACAGCCCAAAGATTTAAGGTTGCCCCATGCGCTGCACCGGGAAGATCAGGTTGCACAGCAAGGGCAGTGTGTGAGAGAATAATCCACATGTTGTGCATGCTGTTAAAAATCTAATTGATAGTGGGTGAGAAACTCCTGTAAAGCTAGCAAGGTGGAAAGAAGGAATGTCGAGTCAGACCAATGGTTCATCTAGCTAAGTACTGTCCACACTGACAGGCAGCAGCTGCCCAGGGCTTCAGAGGGGAAGTCTCTCCCAGCACTACCTGGAGACATCAAGCTTTGAACTTGGGACTTCTGTATGCAAACAGATACTCTACCACTGAGCTACATCCCTCCCAAAGCAGAATTTCAGAGCGGTATTTTCCTGAATATGGAACAACTGATTGGTTCAAAATTGGGAAAGGAGTACGGCAAGGCTGTATATTGTCTCCCTGCTTATTTAACTTATATGCAGAATTCATCATGCGAAAGGCTGGGCTGGATGAATCCGTAGCCGGAATTAAGATTGCCGGAAGAAATATCAACAACCTCAGATATGCAGATGACACTACATAGATGGCAGAAAGTGAGGAGGAATTAAAGAACCTTTTAATGAGGGTGAAAGAGGAGAGCGCAAAATATGGTTTGAAGCTCAGCATCAAAAAAACGAAGATCATGTCCACTGGTCCCATCACCTCCTGGCAAATAGAAGGGGAAGAAATGGAGGCAGTGAGAGATTTTACTTTCTGGAGCTCCATGATCACTGCAGATGGTAACAGCAGTCATGAAATTAAAAGACGCCTGCTTCTTGGGAGAAAAGCAATGACAAACCTAGACAGCATCTTAAAAAGCAGAGGCATCACCTTGCCAACAAAGGTCCATATAGTTCAAGCTATGGTTTTCCCAGTAGTGATGTATGGAAGTGAGAGCTGGACCATAAAGAAGGCTGATCGCTGAAGAACTGATGCTTTTGAATTATGGTGCTGGAGGAGACTCTTGAGAGTCCCATGGACTGCAAGAAGATCAAACGTATCCATTCTGAAGGAAATCAGCCCTGAGTGTTCACTGGAAGGACAGATCCTGAAGCTGAGGCTCCAATACTTTGGCCACCTCATGAGAAGAGAAGACTCCCTGGAAAAGACCCTGATGTTGGGAAAGATGGAGGGCACAAGGAGAAGGGGACGACAGAGGACGAGATGGTCGGACAGAGGACGAGATAGTGTTCTTGAAGCTACTAGCATGAGTTTGAACTGCGGGAGGCAGTGGAAGACAGGAGTACCTGGCGTGTTCTGGTCCATGGGGTCACGAAGAGTCGGACACGACTAAACGACTAAACAACAACAACAACAATTTTCCTGAAACAGGCAAGGAATTGTCAAGGGCTTGAAGACCCGAAGAGCTTGGAGCAGAGGCCAAATGGAGTCCTAACCTGCCGCGACTTGCATCATGTCATACCAGAGGAAAGATTTGCTCTGAGATGTTGGAAGATGGGCTTTCCTCCAGCGTGAAGAAGCATCCCTAGGAGCCAAAGCTACTGAAGTCTTTGTCTTTAAACAGTGGGAGGGGAAATTTCCCTGGAAACACAAGGCATTCTGGGAACAGGGGGGAAGTGGGGAGCCATGCAAATATGGCAGGGAGAGAAGTACCACAGGAACTCTTGTTATGAGCTGCTAAATATAAAACAGCTTCTCTCCAACGCTCTGCAGGCCTCTGGATTCAAAGGAGGATTTATAATCCCCCCCTTTTGTAGCAAAAGCACCAGAGGGGAAGAGACAGGCAGCAGCGACGATGCCAACTCGTTTCTGCAGACTGGTATTGCTAAGCAAACCCAAGGCCAGCTAAGTGCTACCTGATCTCATGCTGCAATTTTAGCTGATCCAACTGTGCTGTGTCACATTTAGTTGGTTCAAGTGCTCCTCTCTGCATCACTTTTACACTTCTCTTCCTTTCGAGCAAGCTTCGTGATGCTATGCCTAAGGGAGACTCACGACAGCAGGCTTCATGAACTTGCCTGCGGCCCCAAAATGACTCACTTGGACAGAAAGCAGGAGCTGCTGCAAGATCCATGGAACCTGCAACCTTGTGCCTTAGCAACAGAGCATCCCTTTTCAGTGGGGCTGACACCAGAGACTCTGCTGGAGGCCTCCTTAGCTTGCACTTGTCTTCAGTCACCGCTTCCAGTTACTTGTTGATACAGTGGTACCTCAGGTTAACAACTTAATTCATTCCAGAGGTCCATTCTTAACCTGAAACTGTTCTTAACCTGAGGTACCACTTTAGCTAATGGGGCCTCCTGCTGCCGCCACCATGCAATTTCTGTTCTCATCCTGAAGCAAAGTTCTTAACCTGAGGTACTATTTCTGGGTTAGTGGAGTCTGTAACCTGAAGCGTCTGTAACCTGAAGCATCTGTAACCCAAGGTACCACTGTACTATCCTGCCAATCACCATCTATACACAAGAGGAAAGCATCGGCAGACTTGGGGAAATCCCAAAGTTTGCTGAAATTAAATAAGAAAAATGGGGGGCCCTAAAACAGGTTGGAAACCTGGAATTGCTAAATAACAGCATGCTCACGAGACATGAAATACATTTCATAAACTTGTTGCAGGTCCCACTTCTTTGTGCCTACTACAGGGAATAGTCTTCTCGCCCTGGTTCTCTTGCTTACCAGCATGTACCAAATTCTGCATGCTAACAATTAGGAGATAGTTTTATAAGAACGGTGTTGGGCAAGGGGAGAGAAAGAGCACATCAGAACAGAAGAAGAGAACAGCAGGATCAGGCCAACAGCCCATCTAATTCAACATTCTGGTCCCTGAGGGAAAGCTCACAAGCTCACAATTCCCAGGTGCCGGGTAACTGTTTGATCTTAAATTGATTCTTATCAACATGTTTTAGATGTGTGTGGTTGCTACCAGTTCCAGTTCAGGCAGCTCTCCGCTTCTGTCCATGGGAGAACTGGTAAGTCCATCCCTGTAGAGCAGAACTAATCTCTCAAAAGCTTCTTCTACTATAGGTAGCCAGTTAGGCAAGTTGGTGCCAAGCGGACGTTGGGAGACACTCCCAAGAAGCACCCACAGGCCATCCTCGGGGAAATTTAATTAGCTACCCTAATCTTGTAGTAAGAGTGTGTGAAACTTGCTTCTGAACAGACGGAGGCCAAAGATGGCTTGCGTTAACTGGGATGGGGAATGTAGTGATGTGGTCGATTTATGGTGCACAACCGACGGCCCCAAATGACAACAGCCATCAGCCTCAGTTGGCTGAAGCATTCTCAAGACTTTAACCAGGGGCTGATTCAAGCCTCAAAACGCACATACACAAAAATAAACTTTGGCTATGGGCAGCAACCAAATTTATTTGCCTTTTTCATCGTCTGCTCTGCAGAGATCCGTGTGGCTGTATAAGCCATTTGGGACGTTAGCATGACGCCAGTCTTAACAGGCCACTATTCTTGCACAGAGAATTGCCATACGTAACAGGCAAGCCTCATCCCACCAGACCTTTGAAAAATAATCTTCAGTATTTTTGACTTTGTGAGCATGAGCTTGACCCGCCCGCTGGGGCTGATGGGAGTTGTAGTCCAAAACGGAGGCACCAGATTGGAAGAGAAGCTGACTTAAAGGCTTCATTCCTCAGAGACATCGAGGCCTAAAAGCAAAAGGCTAGAAAGCTCTTTCTGAGCTTCAGAGGCTTCCAAACTGCTTCTCTGCACAAGGTCAATCCCATCTACATGACTGTACACAGGCAAGGAAGATGGCGAGCACCATCTTCTGCAGCTAAGGCCCGAGTCTGGGCATTGAACCAGCCAAAGAGAAGGTGAAGGAGAAGATTTGGTCAAGGACTTTTAAAGCATTGAATTCATTAGAGCAAAAATAATAATCATAACCAGGTATATTTATGCTAAGTACAACCATCTCCCCCCAGGTTAGCTAACTGTTATAGGGGGGACATTAAAAAAGGACTTTTAACAATGCAAGGTCAGGTTTTTATGAATGTGAGTAATGCACTACTCCATTCTTCACCATGGAGGGCTATTGATAGCTACTAGCCACGATGGCTGTGCTCTGCCTCCACAGTCAGAAGAAGAGCTTGGATTGATATCCCGCTTTATCACTACCCAAAGGAGTCTCAAAGTGGCTAACAATCTCCTTTCCCTTCCTCCCCCACAACAAACACTCTGTGAGGTGAGTGGAGCTGAGAGACTTCAGAGAAGTGTGACTAGCCCAAGGTCACCCAGCAGATGCATGTGGAGGAGCAGGGAAGCGAACCCGGTTCACCAGATTACGAGTCCACTGCTCTTAACCACTACACCACACTGGCTCTCATAGGCAGCAATGCTTCTGAATACCAGCTCCTGGAAACCACAGGAGGGGAGAGGACTCTTGTGTTCGAATCTTGCTTGCGGGTTTCCCATAATAGGCATCTGGTTGGCCAAGATGAGAAGAGGATGCTGGACTAGATGTGTCGTTGGCCTGATCCAGGAGGGTTCTCCATATGTTCTTATGATCAGGGAGGTGAAGGTAAAGGGACCCCTGACCATTAGGTCCAGTCGTGACTGACTCTGGGGTTGCGGCGCTCATCTCGCTTTACTGGCCCAGGGAGCCGGCGTACAGCTTCTGGGTCATGTGGCTAGCATGACTAAGCCGCTTCTGGCGAACCAGAGCAGCACACGGAAACACCGTTTACCTTCCCGCCAGAGCGGTACCTATTTATCTACTTGCACTTTGACGTGCTTTCGAACTGCTAGGTTGGCAGGAGCTGGGACCAAGCAACGAGAGCTCACCCCGTCAAGGGGATTCGAACCGCCGACCTTCTGATCGGCAAGCCCTAGGCTCTGTGGTTTAACCCACAGCGCCACCCGCGTCCCACATTATCAGGGAGACCTGGATTAAAATCACAGCTCAGACCTAGAGGTCACTGAGTAACACCAAGCCAGTAACCTGCTTGTCTAATCTCCCTCCCAGGATGAAACCAGATGCCTCTTGGACCCAAGGGTCCTCGGAGGAAATGCACGATGCAAAAGCAAATCAATAAAATGAAATCAGGGAATAAATTCAACAAACAGAGGCAGAATGCAACCAAGCCAAGCCAAGCAACATGCCATACAACAAATACAGGCTAAAAATGCAGTTGCTGCTTTGCCCCTAAGCGATTAGCCAGCTGTGAAACTGTGGAGCGCACACAGCTCTTACAGGCCGAATAGAGAAAGCCAGCCACAGGGTGCTGACCAACCGCCCAGCTTCTCTCAAGGGAGGAAGTTTGGTTTGGCTGGGGCAAAGACCACAGATGTGGCTCAAGGCCAGGCCAGGCTGTGTGAGCTGCTGGCAGTTATGGGGACGGAGACCGCAGAGGTGCAGTGGGTGAGAACAAGAGCAAGGAAGCGGAAGGCAGGATCTCTTGGACCCCACTGGAAATCTGTCCTATGAAGTCTAATGAGGCTGTGGCTTCAAAGGAAAAGAAGGAATAGCCTGAGATTAAACATTATAGGTGATTTGCTATTGCCTGCCTAACAGCCTGGAGAGAATAATAATAATAATAATAATAATAATAATAATAATAATAATTTATACCCTGCCCTCCCCAGCCAAGGCCGGGCTCAGAGCGGCTTACAAGCAATAATAAAAACAAGTTGAATGATTACAACTTAAAAACAAAATTAAAATACAACATTAAAATATTGAAATATTGAAATATTAAAATGTAGCCTCCTCGCAGCAGGAGAAGGAAAAGAAAAAAGAAAGAGAGGGAGGGAGGGAATCAAATTGGCTCCAAGCCAAAGGCCAGGCGGAACAACTCTGTCTTACAGGCCCTTTGGAAAGAAATCAGATCCTGCAGGGCCCTGGTCTCATGAGGCAGAGGGTTCCACCAGGCTGGAGCCAGAGTTGAAAAGGCCCTGGCTCTGGTTGAGGCTAATCTAACTTCCTTAGGGCCCGGGACCTCTAGGGTGTTGCTATTTATGGGCCTTGAGGCTCTCCGCGGGGCATACCAGGAGAGGCGGTCCTGTAGGTACAAGGGTCCTAGGCCGTGAAGGGCTTTAAAGGTCAAAAGCAGCACCTTAAATCTGACCCTGTACTCCACCGGGAGCCAGTGCAGCTTGAAAAGCACTGGGCGAATATGCTCCCATGGCAGAGACCCCGTGAGAAGCCTCGCTGCAGCATTCTGCACCCGCTGGTGAGAAGAGGAGCAATTACCGTATTTTTCGCTCTATAAGACGCACCAGACCACAAGACGCACCTAGTTGTTGGAGGAGGAAAACAAGAAAAAAAATACCGTATTTTTTGCTATAAGACTCACTTTTTCCCTCCTAAAAAGTAAAGGGAAATGTGTGTGCGTCTTATGGAGCGAATGCAGGCTGCACAGCTATCCCAGAAGCCAGAACAGCAAGAGGGATTGCTGCTTTCACTGCACAGCGATCCCTCTTGCTGTTCTGGCTTCTGAGATTCAGAATATTTTTTTCTTGTTTTCCTCCTCCAAAAACTAGGTGCGTCTTGTGGTCTGGTGTGTCTTATAGAGCGAAAAATACGGTATTCTGAATCTCAGAAGCCAGAACAGCAAGAGGGATCGCTGTGAGGTGAAAGCAGCCATCCCTCTTGCTGTTCTGGCTTCTGGGATAGCTGCGCAGCCTGCATTTACTCCATAAGATGCACACACATTTCCCCTTACTTTTTAGGAGGGAAAAAGTGAGTCTTATAGAGCAAAAAATACGGTAAGTCCCCTTCTGCCTCTCTGCAGGGCACCTTATCATACAAACATAGAATTATAGAGTTGGAAGGAACCTCCAGAGCCATCTAGTCCAACCCCCTGCATTGCAGGAATATTTCGCCCAATGTGGGGCTCAAACCCATGACCCTGCCCACCTTCTGCCCACGGAAGCACAGAATTGTGCTTGCTAAATGGGCGCCATTCAAAAGCAATCGAGGGAAAAAGCGTCCTCTCGGCTCCAGCACAAAGGCTCCTGCAACTATCTGTTTGCTCTGCGCTGAGCGCTGGCAATCAGGGAGACGAGAGCGCTTAAAATAGCAAACCCCCCGCAGCCCTTCCAGTCGGGTTTGTTTAATGCTGAGATTATAGCCCGTTTCTCTGCCTATATTCGCACACGCACAAGCGCCGCTGACCTAGTTTCGTCTTCCCAAGTCCCACCGGCAAAGAGCTGCAAATTCACATGCTGCACGAGCGGCGGCGGCGGCGAGAAACAGATCTCCCCAATCCGTCATGCGCTGCTCAGGCAAGGCCATTAATTCCAGAGGGCACCCAAATAACATGAAATGAACGACATCAAAGCAAGGCGGCTATTTGCATAAGGAGAGGGGACTTGCAGCTCCGAGACTTAGCAACTTAAAGCCAGGAAACCTCCACTTAAAAGCACCCCCCCATGAGCAACTAGCTGTTTTTCCAGCTGCTAATTCAAGACTTGGGAGGGCATGGGAGGGGGAAGATGGCACAAGAGGAGAATATTAATCTTCAGCAGAAGAAAACTGTGAAGATCCATCAGTCCTCGGGCAATAAAGTTTACATGAAGGACTGATTTCAAAAGATTGGCTCACACTCTCGAAACTGGGAGATGCCCTCTTTTTCTATATTCAAAATAATAACATGAAGGTAAAGCTGAGGAGCACTTTTTTAAAAAAGAGTAAACAACATCATCCAAAAGTACAGAAGAGTATTTTTTTTAAAAAAAGGGTTCCAAAAGATTTTTTAAATGTCATAACTAGTCAGTGTGATCATTATGCTCAACAGGTATTGAGAAAAATGTATGCTCACTATATTCAGTAAATATATTGCTTTCACTGGCAACCAGATGAATATGTCTTAAATACAGTGGTACCTCGGGTTAAGAACTTAATTCATTCTGGAGGTCCGTTCTTAACCTGAAACTGTTCTTAACCTGAAGCACCACTTTAGCTAATGGGGACTCCTGCTGCTGCCGTGCCGCCGCCGCGCGATTTCTGTTCTCATCCTGAAGCAAAGTTCTTAACCTGAGGTACTATTTCCTGGTTAGCGGAGTCTGTAACCTGAAGCGTCCGTAACCCGAGGTACCACTGTACTCATCATTCTGGCAGCTGCTATGATAAATTCTGGCAGCTGCTATGATAAAAAACAGTTCACTGTTTTTGTGCAACTACAGAAAATCCTACAGCTCTGAATGCAACACCTCTCTTCCTCTTTCAGCTAGACAGAAGCTGCATTGTCATAAATTCACCAGAATTAGCCAAGCTATGTTCTCCTTTGTTCGATATTTGTATCAGAATATGGTTTGACAGCAGCATCACAAACGCTGTACGAAATGCCAAATGTTCTCCCAAGCTCCACGGATATGATGCTCCGATTCCGAGAGAATATTTCGATGCTCTACCAGTCGACAAAGACAGGAGAAGAACAAACAGGTCAAGTCTATTGGTGAGGTAGACTCTTTAAACCTTGACCAATTCGAGCAGTTGGTGCATCTTTCCACCTTTATCAATATCCCAGCCTCTCCACTACATCAAAGGCTGCCAGTCACAATGGCTGTTACAGCTCCACTGGTGGAGGCCTCTGAATGCCAGGTCAGGAAGTGGGGAGCCTGCTGTTGCAAACCGGTGGCCTTCCCATTGGTTGGCCAAGGTGAGAGCAGGGCTCCGGACTAGACTAGCCATTGGCCAGATCCAAAAGGCCCTTTACCCTCTTATCATCACCAGAAGTTCTTCTGCTTCCTCCTATGACCATCCGGTCTCCCTTGCTGCCCCAAGTCTTGTACTGAGGCACAGCTACACAGTGTCCGGCCTCTTGAAATCCCTACCCACCAACTGCAGTCTTCTCCAACATGGCTCCCTCCAGACGATCTGGGCTACACTACACCACAGAACTGATAGGATTGGAGTCCAAAATGTCTGGAGAGCACCAAGTTGGAGAAGGCTGTCCTACTGAAACCAAGCCTAAATAGATCGGGATGAAATTTGCCCATATTGCTCCCATCTTACTCTTGCCTCTCCATCTCCCTCTTCCTTTTGTTGTCTACTTTCTGGATAGCTCAGTTGGTTGCAGCATGGTACCGATAACGGCAAGGCTGCAGGTTCAATCCCTGTATGGGACTGCTGCATATTTGTGAATTGCAGGGCTCGGGACTAAACGATCCTTAGGTCCCCTTCCAAGTCTATGATTCTAAGATTAAGATTCTAAGCCTTTTCAGAGACGGACCTGTGTCTATTTCTTATTACGTTCCAATGAAGCACCGCATACCATGATGGCGCATTACCGAAAAATAGAAAATATCTCATCTCCTGGAAAGTTTCAAGAAAAGGATGGACAGCTTCTGTGAGCCAGGCTTCTCACACTTCTCCAGATATATTTTTAGAACTCGAAAATTGAAAGCATGGCCAAAAAAAGCCCAGGATACACAGTCTTTGCCACCCCCCATTCTCGCCACCTTTCCTTAATTGATGCTAAGCAGACATGACGTTTCTGGAGTTGTCAGAAGACTTTCATGGACAAGGCAGCTCTGCCTACATGAAAAACGGCCGCAGTTGTGCTGGAGGGTGTCTGCCAAGCCTGGGCCAGTGAGTCTTCAATTTTGCTGTTTTTGAAAGGGCAGGGATTATGCCGCACTGGGTATTTGACCTTGGAACACTGTTGTGCATCAGAAGAAGAGCAGCGAACGGGCCGTGACCCTGTGCAGGCGGAAGATGGGGTCTGGGAGTCCAACATGGAGGACGCCAGGTTGACAAAGGCTGGCTGGCTTTGCTAAGTGAATGAAGGAGAAGGACAGCACAAGGAGAAGGTAAGTATGAGATACAGCAGAGGATAAACCAAGACAGGAATGCAGTGCCTGGAAAGCCTCGAGACTCACTTGGTCACCAACCACTGACCAATCTGTGACCACCACTTTGAATAATAGTGCTTCATAGAATTGTAGAGTTGGAAGGGACCCATGGGTCATCTAGTCCAACCCCTGCAATGCAGGAATCTCAGCTAAAGCATCCATGACAGATGACCATCCAACCTCTGCTTAAAAACCTCCAAGGAAGAAGAGCCCACCACCTTCCCGAGAGAGACCGTTTCACTGTCGGACAGCTCTCACTGTCAGAAAGTTTTTCCGTATGTTTATTTGGAATCCGCTTTCTTGTAACTTGAAGCCATTGCCGTGAGTCCTACCCTCCATAGCAGGAGAAAATAAGCATGCTCCATCTCCCTTGTGACAGCTCTTTATATATTTGAAGATGGCTCTCATATCTCCTCAGTCTCCTCTTCTCCAGGCTAAACATACCCAGCTCCTTCAAGCGTTCCTCATAAGGCTGTTTCCAGACCCTTGATCATTTTGGTTGCCCTCCTCTGCACACCTTCCAGCTGCTCAACATCCTTCTTAAATTGTGGTTATTGTGGTAAATTAACTCCTACTTCTTCCACCTCTTAGGTTAGCCCAGTATACATGATGATACCCAGCCAGAAAACTGCCTTCTTTCAAACTGTTAGCTGGCTGCCCCCAGCAGCAGACCCCAGACTCCACAAAAGCTGCCCAGCGTGGGGATTTTTGTATATCAGCCACTTAGCCCTGCACTTCAGTCGCACTCCAAATGCGACCGCCCTCAAGTCTTCATCCAGTGAGATGCTCCCCAGAACTTTGTTTCCTTTCTTCGCATGTGTTGCCCACTTCATCCATCTGATGAAGCTGGAGGTTGCCAGGTTCTTCTTCTTAACGTGTGCCAAGGTAAAGAGCTCAATAGTACATATTCCCCACGGAGACAACCAAACTGAAGGCTCATCAGCCCTGCATCAGCAAATGCTCCTTCACCAAGAGCCACCAGACTCTGGAACTCCCTCCCCGGAGAAGCAAGACTGGCTCCCTCCTTATTGTTCTTCACCAGCAAGTGAAGGATGTTCCATTCCAACAGGCTTTTGGGGACTGACTGTTCTTTAAGGAAAGGGCTTTAAAATAGTGCTGTGCTGTTTTCACGATCTGTATTTTAACAGCTCTTGTTTTTATATTAAATAGCTTAATTACTTTTTAACTGCTTTTATATATCTTTATGTGTTCAGCCTTCTGCATTTTATCTGCTTTTGTTTTAAAATTTGTTTTAAAATTATTATTCATCAAGAGACCACAGGGCAGTTTACAACATAAAACACAAAATACATAATATAATATTAGTAAAAGGGAAAGTCAATACCTCCCACCCTACTTTAGAAGGTCATAGGTTGATTGACTACCACTCCCCCTTCTCTCCTGATATCCTTTCTTTTCCTGTCTTGCTTGGATATTTTCTCTTACTTGCTATTGTTGTTATAATTGCTTTTACTGTATTGGAAAAGTGGAAATGAAAATTACAGAGAGAGAGATATTTTCTTTTATAAACTTCATTCACTTTGCAGCTGGAATGTCAACTTTTAATTGTGAGTGTAAGCAACAAAAACACCGCTTAGCCCTATATTGGACAATTTGCCGTGATGCTGCAATAACTGTTTGGAAGAGCCAAGGTTGAAGATGCTGCAGACCTAGCATGCAGGAGGTGACACATTACATAATGTCTCTCTCCTGCTCAACCCTCCCCGCCAACCTTTAGGTATCTGAATCCATGCAAAGCAGAAAGATGCACAGATCAATAAAGAGGGGGAGCAGATATCAATACCAGCTTGTGGCTGCAGTCATTACAAGAAATAATGGCTGCAAAGCTGGGAAGAGAAGCCCTGCAGAAGCTAAGACGACTGGATGAAGGAAGCTGGATAAATTAAGCTGTCTTCATTTAACTGAGGGGGGACAGGGGGAGTGCGCTGTAAGCTACTACATTCCTTTAGGTGAGCAATGCAAAGACTGGCTCCTTCCTCCCAGAGGAGGTGGAAACAAAGCAGCAGCCCCATCAAGGGATTGCCCTCAATAGATCACTCATTTCCCCCTGGTGCATTATTGATGCAAAGCACGCCAGCATCACAGGGAATTCGCAGCTTTGCTTATCTTGTTTGAAATAGCACTCCACACCACAGCGCCTGCCTGCCTGACTGCTTTTAATAATCAAGTTATCTCTCAAAAAGATAAACCTGGGAGCCAGGGACCTCACACCCTCTCAAAGCACTAGGGCAGACCTTATTTATTTCCAGCATTTTTACTGGGGGGGGGGGGAGGCTAGCAATTTCTTGAGCGTTTGTTCCGATGCGAAGCTTACGTGGTGGTTAGACGATGACTGGTCCTTAGCGAGCATCCGTTCTCATTTGTTTGCGGGGTGGCTATGCAGCAAGGAGAATTCATCCTTATTTTCTCATGGGTGCGTTTCCCCGTTAATTGTTTGTCCATCGCACACTTCTTTAGCGCATTTCTCCACCACTTTCCTAACTGCAAAAAGTGAGTGGGTTTTTTTGTTTGTTTTAAGTGGATTTGTCGCACAAAAGCAGCAGAGCAATTTCATCCACATTAGTTGTGTGAACCTAAACTTACAGTAGGACATCCAAAGACGCAAGATGTTGGAAGATTCAGGACAGGGGGAGGGGAGCTCCGGGATCCCCCAGCGGCCTCAGAACAAATAAGGTCTGAATTGTTGCCATGGTGTGCCAAAAACCCAGCTCTCCTACATTCACATTACAGCTCAACATCCCTTCCTTCTGCCATACTAATTATAGTTGGCACCAGCCACCACTGAGGGAAAGGGATGAATGGGGTGTGTGATCAAATAGGCAGTAGTTCCCAATTTCAGAGTTTTTATGACAACCACCTGGAATGGAAAGAGTTCAAGAAAGAAGGGTCCCAATGCTGGTGGTCTCTTGGCTGTATCAGCAGAAGGGCCTGCAATCCCACCCTCTTCCTCTGCCTCCCTGAAAAGCTACTCACCAAACTTCACAGTGCCAGTTACCAGCGCACCTGCATCCCTCTAGATGGCAGGCTATCACCTTTGCAGTGAGATCTGCTTTCTCTTGTGCTCCCTGGGCACTGTGGCCAAACAGTTGCTCACATACTGAATGGCTATACCCCAGAAAGAGCTTGGCTCCTCTGCAGGTTAATAGAAGAACTGACATGAAGTTAAGAATTGTATGAACCTTGCAAACAGAAAAGGACTGAGTATCCCACCCTTGCATTTTGGCATTGAGAAATACGGACAATACATGCTGCCATTTATTTTTTTAAGTCAAATGTGATCAATGACTCCAAATGACTATGAATCAGAGCTCATTTTCCTGGCTCAGCTTTTAGCAAGTATTGGGAATAAGAATCGAAAATATTGCTCCTTCTGGATTTTCAAGAAAGTCAGAACAATGCTTGATGGGAGTTTAGCCAAAACACAAGACATACATGACCTGAGCATAGCCTTAGGGAACCTACTCTGAATGTTTTGGACTTCAACTTGCATCACCTCCTGCCAGCAACGCTACATACTTTCTTTAAATGCACATATACAAACATTTTGAACTGAGATCCACTGGATGGTGCATGGCGGAATGCCCTAGAGACCTTAAAACACTTACTTTCAGGTGTTATTTTCAAGGTTGCATGCATTCAATATATTTAAAGGCATGCTAGGCAGAGTGGGACGCAGGTGGCGCTGTGGGTTAAACCACAGAGCCTAGGACTTGCCGATCAGAAGGTCGGCAGTTCGAATCCCCGCGACGGGGTGAGCTCCCGTTGCTTGGTCCCTGCTCCTGCCAACCTAGCAGTTCGAAAGCACGTCAAAGTGCAAGTATATAAATAGGTACCACTCCGGCGGGAAGGTAAACGGCGTTTCCGTGCGCTGCTCTGGTTCGCCAGAAGCGGCTCAGTCATGCTGGCCACACGACCCGGAAGCTGTACGCCGGCTCCCTCGGCCAATAAAGTGAGATGAGCGCCACAATCCCAGAGTCGGTCACGACTTGACCTAATGGTCAGGGGTCCCTTTACCTTTACTAGGCAGAGTGCCTTGTAGCAAAATACATTTTTGCAGCTAGCTACAATGGCCAGCTCCCACCTTCACTATCAGAGATATTGTGCCTCTGAATACCAGTTGCTGGGAAGGGAAAAGTGCTGTTGTGCTCAGGTCCTGGGCTGCATGCTTCACACAAGCATCTGGCTGGCCACCACGAGAACAGGATGCTGTGTACTAGGTGTGCCACTGGCCTGATCCAAGTAGGCTCTTTATA